ACATTACATCTATTGATTTCACCATTACATCTTATTGATATTCACCATTACATCTATTTGATTTTCACCATTACATCTATTTGATATTCTCCATTACATCTATTTGATTTTCACCATTACATCTATTTGATATTCACCATTACATCCTATTTGATATTCACCATTACATCCTATTTGATATTCACCATTACATCCTATTTGATATTCACCATTACATCATATTTGATATTCACCATTACATCCTATCTGATATTCACCATTGCATTCTATTTGATATTCACCATTACATCCTATTTGATATTCTCCATTACATCCTATTTGATATTCTCCATTACATCCTATTTGATATTCACCATTACATCCTATTTGATATTCACCATTACATCCTATTTGATATTCACCATTACATCCTATTTGATATTCACCATTACATCCAATTTGATATTCACCATTACATCCAATTTGATATTCACCATTACATCCAATTTGATATTCACCATTACATCCTATTTGATATTCACCATTACATCATATTTGATATTCACTATTAAATCCTATATGATATTCACCATTGCATACTATTTAATATTCATAAATACATCCTATTTGATATTCACCGTTGTGTTCTATTTGATATTCACCATTAAATCCTATTTGATATTCACCATTACATCCAATTTGATATTCACCAATACATCCTATTTGATATTCACCATTACATCCTATTTGATATTCACCGATACATTCTATTTGATATTCACCGATACATCCTATTTGATATTCACCATTACATCCAATTTGTTATTCACCATTACATCCTATTTGATATTCACCATTACATCCTATCTGATATTCACCATTGCATTCTATTTGATATTCACCATTACATCATATTTGATATTCACTATTAAATCCTATATGATATTCACCATTGCATACTATTTAATATTCATAAATACATCCTATTTGATATTCACCGTTGTGTTCTATTTGATATTCACCATTACATCCAATTTGATATTCACCATTACATCCTATTTGATATTCACCATTACATCATATTTGATATTCACTATTAAATCCAATTTGATATTCACCATTACATCCTATTTGATATTCACCATTACATCCTATTTGATATTCACCGATACCTCCTATTTGATCTTCACCATTACATCCTATTTGATATTCACCATTACATCCTATTTGATATTCTCCATTACATCCTATTTGATATTCTCCATTACATCCTATTTGATATTCACCATTACATC